CTGGACGCACGGTGTCCTTTGGTCGGCCGCTGGGTGGATTGAGGGGGGGGGGGGGGCGAGGGACGGTGTGTAGTAGTGTCGTAGCAGGTGGTCGGCGTGTGTGCCTTGTTGAGGCAGCGTGTCAGTGTGGCATAGGGATGTGGGAAGGCTCGTCTTGGGACGTCTCCGGGTGGAAGCAGGAGATGATATCGAGGATGGGGCCTGGTGGTTTGGCGAGACCCTGAAATGGAACCCGAAGCCTCAGTGCTGATCGGCTTGGCATCTACAAGCAAAGCTCCAGGTTTGGCAAGTCTTGAATATGAAGTTGTTTTTCTCTAGCGCAAGTACCAGACAGTATCTCACAATATGCATACTAAATAGAAGCGGTGACCCGCCTTATGCATGTCTAACTGTAAACTGCCAATGGAGCATGATCTGAATCGCTGCGACGCAGTAGCATGCCTCGGCCCCCCTGGGGCCTCAAGGAGGGGGAGTCCCGGGCTCCCGAATCCTTCGACAAGCCTCACTATCGCTGCGGCGCTCGGCGGCGACTTCCTGGCGCCCGGTGTCTCTCGCCTGCCTGACTAAACGACTGGTGTCAGACACTCACTTATCAATGGCGAGCTGCGCAGAACTGGGGGCTTTTGACGACACAGGCGCTTAGCTAAAAAAGGCTTATCTACCGGTCGTAGTGACTTGAGCGCTGAGGCATTCGTTGAAAACTGCTCCTCAGTATTTTGAGGTATTGAAGATGGAAATAGAGAAGAGGTTGCTTCATGAGTTGTGCCTTCTCGTTGTATGAAGAGCGAACAGTTAAACGTGTTGCTGTTTGCTATCGCTATTTAACCAAACTATCAGATTAATGCGCTATTTGAAGATATAAGTGCTCGTGTAGGATTTCGAGCTTCGTTCAGAAGCTGCGATTGTTGGAAGCTTACGAAGTGGAGTTCGTGATCTTGACCAAGCAGTGGGCGTACTCGTTATGCATAATATCGTCTTTATTGACCTGTTGTGTGTTTAAGCCACCTGTGGGGACTGATGTGATAACAATAACACGCGTATGGCTGCTGGTGTCCGCGTTATGGGGATACGCCTGCTGTGTTCAGTGGTGCCGCTGCCTGAGCCCGTGTTTGCCCCGCCGGCGACTGTGTCTGCCCGATGGGAAGGCAGGGCGCGGCTCAAAGGGGGAGGGAGGAGAGCGGTCTGTCGGTCAGGGCGCTCAGTTCAGCCGGGGACGACGGCCCACCGATCTGAGCCCTGTGGTTGTTTGGGCTGACTCGTCGGTAGTGATTCGACCCTCGGGCAGGGCGTGGGGCAGACTACGTTATCTGCTGTGCAGGTTCACAAATATAGGGTATTCTGTGCCTGATATTGTCTATTGTTTCGGATTTCAGCCGCTTTTTGCAATCGTACTTTACTTGACTGTCGTGTAATGCAATGCCCTGGGCGTCCTTTTATTGGGGTCTATTGTGTTGTTTCATTTTGCTACTTATAACGCGTGACGCGATGACAGCTGCTTCCAAAACTTCCAATAGACTGCTATGCTAATGTGTTTTTTGTACTTTGAACAGGTCGCAAGATTGCTGTCAGCTGGGACGAGATGTCAATTTGAGGCCAAATAAGCGGTGGCGTAGCGGCACCACGATGCAACAAAATTCATTAGAAACTTGCATTGAAAATACTTAAATATCGTCCTATATAGATTGTTCATGGATCGAAGTGTCAAACTATGAGTATGTTGTCTACTGTAGGAGGCATAGGCGGTCCCAGGGGGGGGGGGGGGGCACGGGGGCCATGGCCCCCCCTTTGGTGCTGAAAGGTGGGGCCATACTATCTTTTGGCCCCACCTTTCAGATCGAACAAAAGTCCTATAAAAGCTTTTTGTATGTTTCATTTTCTCTCTTGCGCCATCAAAGGACGTAAATTTCACTCATGAGTGGGCTCAGTTTCGCATTCTGTCAATTTGGCGGTCAGCGTCGCTGGCACCGGTTCACGAGTATGGCCGGATCTTATATGGAATCAGGCGCGGATACAAGGGGGGGGGGCATGGGGGCCATGGCCCCCCCCCTTGGCCGATTATTTTCAAAAATAAAATAAAAAGTTAAAAAGCTGAAAAGGGGGCCTCCTGAAAATAAAGTGGCTATTCATGTTGAGATGTTGCCTGAACAGCTAGATAAGCTCAATAGACGCAGTTTTTTTTTTTTGGGGGGGGGGGGGCAACAAGTGGGAAGATGGGGCCTCCAACAGGTGGGATTATGGGGGCCTCCTGGTTTCTAATGGCCCCTCCCTTGGAGATTTTCTGGATCCGCCCCTGTATGGAATATCAGCGTGGGTTTACTTGAGGCTCTCGTAGGCCCAGCAATGGCTTGCATGAGACCCTCTTCGCCAGTGGCGGGTGGGCCCTGCCAATTGAGCGTGGCTCTTCGACACATAAGACCTCATGGGTTGGTGCTGTGCACCTCAGAAGCCCGGTGGCATGACGCCGTTTGCCGGCTTGGTTTCTTAAGGATTAGCGTGGGAACTCCGGGGCCTGCATAGAGTTTGCATGAGCTAGTATGTAATCTCAGAGGCCTGTATGTAATGTGTACACAGTGGCGGTCGCTGGGGGGGGGGGGGGGGGGCATCAGGGCCATGCCCCCCAAGGCACATAAAGGGGGCCGTCATATCATTTGCCCCCCCCCCCTCAAGCAACCAATGGGCCCTCATAGGTGTATGGGGCCCTGGCCCTGATTCGATCGTCACGAGGCTTAAAAAAACGCGCCCAGCTATTAATATAGCTCCCACACCGGTCTTTGAGCGTCCTACACTGACCTCTGATGGAACTTCAGTGGCGGTCAAGCGCCCACGTTGACCGCTAAGAGCCCACATCGACCTCTGAGGCCCGACATCTGGCATATGAGGGCCCCTAACCGGCCTCAGGGGCCCCAACCGGCGTCTGAGGGTCTCACACCGGTCTCTAATGGCCTTGTTGCTGTCTCTGGTGTCCCAAGACGAACATTTAGGTGCCAATGAGGGCCCCGCACTGGCTGCTGTAGACCCGATGCCAGCCTCTAAGGGCCTGCGTTGGCCTCTGAGGAGGGCCCATCTTGGCCTTTGAGGGCCCTCTGCTGGCCTCTGGGGTCCAACGACGGCTCATGCCGGTCTCTTAGGGCCCCACGCTGACCTCTGAGGGCCCCATGTTGGCCTGTAATGAGTAAGGACCCACATTAGCCTCTGAGAGCCCAACTCGGTCTCTGATGGTCTCAAACTACTGGCCTTTGCAGTCTGCAGGCCCTGTACTGGTCTCTGAGGGCCCTAAACTGGCCTCTAAGTGAAAACATACATGGGTGGGCTTCTGAAGATCACAGGGCTCACACAGACTCCTGCACAGCCTTACGTTGGTCCTGATCGAGATTACTTTACGTCCGGATGGTCCCGCGCAGATTCCCTCATATTTCGACGTCGGGACCCCATGAGCCGGTGTGTGGGGCTGGCAGAGACTGATGAAGTCCTTAGGGTTCAGGGCCAGTCTTTTTAGCAGTAGGACTATAAGACAGGTTGAGTGAGCCGAGCCCCAATAGAGCCGTTGCGAAGCCCCGCACGAGTCGCGCGCGGCCCTCAGATGCCAATTTTGAAAACCAGGAACCTGTGGGGCCGGGGGTCTCCAGAGGTCGGTGTACCTACTTTCTCCCGCCGCTACACATCTATAGGTATGGGTAAATGTCATGGCTTGAAAATGCTCTCTGGGTTTCACATGCTTGTTCGAAGCAAGAGGTATCTGTACTTTTCCGAATTGTTTTATAGTGGTAAGGTCATGAATCCGCGTGCCCGACCTTCCAGTATATGCTACACCGATCCGTCGCCATGGTGCAGTGGCCCGACCGGAACTGGTGATTTTGCCTTAAATTGAGCTTAAAGATTTTACGCAAGAATGAGGTGGATGAAGCATAAGTAATGCCAACTTTTTCGGCGCCTCGTGGGCGTAAAAAATTAGCCGATCACCCCCTCCGGTGACGGATAAATGTTATGTCCCGCGAGTGTGACTTTGGCCCCCCCCCCCTTTTGCCAGCGGCCGCGACCGTCAGTGGTAGGAGGGGCATTGCTCGACCGAACTTGACTTTCCAACCTACGGCGACATCTCGACCTCCTTATATCGTGGCTTCTCGACTTGACCCACTGTGGCTCCTCCTTCTGCCGTTTCCTTGACCTACCGTGACCTCTGGATCTGCTATAACCGTCGAACCGCCACACAGGTCAGCCCGGCATACCCCCTGTACCACATATCCGAGCCTGGGCTGGTCATTCTATCGACAGTCACTCAGCACAATCGCCTGAGCCGTTTTATCAAATCTGTGTTGACTCAACAGAGGCTTAGCCGATAAAGGCATTTGTTGGTCATTGGGCGGCTCCGGACTACAGAAACGACTGTCCGCTACCACACCCCTTAAAGCCAGGAAACAATGCACATCATAATGGCAACTGGCAAGCGACGGTCAATTGCGGAATGGCAAGCGACAGTCTTTTTCAGAATGGCAACAGGTGCACTGTATTTCGGTAGGCGACAGTGTACTGTTTGGGTTTCTGTATGACAAGCGGCAACAATCTACCGTATAAACAAGACAGTCGATTGCGTAATCGCTAGTGGCAATCTTTTGCATAATGCTAGCGAAAGGTTTTTGCATTATTGCGAGCGTCGTTGGCAAACAATTGTTCATGCTGGATTATGCTGACTGCCACGATAGGTTATCAGCTGGCTTCTGGCATGCTGCATAGATTGTCTTGTCAGCCCTCACTTGCTATCATTGTCTAGTTATGTGTCATATGAGTTGGCCTGCTCGTACAATTATGATCGTTATATGCGCTTGCTGTGACATGAGGTGGGCTCACACAAATAACGAGCAAGAAGGCAGTCGATTTTCGTAACTTTGTCGGCAATCTGATGCCTTTGTTTCTTTCGGAGGCTGGATAAAGACACTCAAGACAGGACAAGGTAAACAAGCAAAGAAAACATATAACACGCAAGATTGTCTCACATTGCAAAACACCTGTCGCATAAAGCATTTATTATTGGACCTTACATTACACGAAACGTATGTCTAATCAAAAGGACAACACAGTCTTATAGATAGAAGAAGCCACATAACATTTCGCATCAAAACGCGCATCTAAACAATGAAAGCATACCCATGTGATTCATATTTATCTTATCGGCGCCACATCTACAGGAACTGTAGCGTGTATAGCGCTCACACCGGCCTCGCGCCGCGGCTGCTCGTCTCCTACATTTTGCCCGTGTGGCACTGCTGCCTGCGTTCTGCCGGTGTCATGATGCCACGCCACCCGTGACGGTACGTTTTGCCCCGAGTGTTCAGAGGAACTGTCTCGAAGGGGCAACGTCAGCGGATGAGCGAGCGCTGTTCCCGTGCCCCTTCATTTGGAGCGGCATTGCTCGGTCGAACTGGGAACAGAGCGAAACACGGGGGGTGACAGTCGGGCCAGGGGGCTCTGCATTGTGCAGCGTGCATGCAAATGCACAGCGCAGAATGCAGATGTAGTTGTGAGTCAGTAACAGTAGATATCCTGCAGTCGTCGGTTAACGGCGGAAAACGGGGACCGTGCAGGATATCACGGCGCAGATTAAGCCTGCAGACGCTCAGCGTGACATAATCTGACGACATAACTAGCAGCTCCGGAGCGGTCAGGGTGCATCATGATTCATGCAACAACCTCCGTCGGATGTGTTAAGTCGGCGCGATATTGTGCTTCCGGAACCAGCATACTGTCTGTGACTCATGATCGTCGAGACTGAGACTAGTTATGTTTTTAAAGACAAAGAGTCGTGAACCTAAAGCCCTCTGCTCTGTATATCCTCAGCATGCATGGCATATGTTAACGAGAAAAATGTAGTGATTGCCGCACCCCTTTCTCCCCCATGAGACTCGAACAACTCTAAATGGTGGCAGTAAATGAAACAGTATTCCATAATCACGACAGACTGCAGCCCGCAGCGCACCAGTCGGCTCAGCTCACCTTCGCAGTCGCCGGAGGTAAACGTGATGTCGTCCAGCGCGAAGCCGTACTTGCTGGCGTCGCCTTCGAAGGTGATGCGGTAGCTCTGCGTCGCCCTGAAGCCGGCCTGGCCGTAGAGCCAGGTGAGCCGGCGGGCGCCGGTCTCCGAGGCACGCACCGACCACAGCACGGTCGGCTCGCCGAACTGAGCGTCATCCCCGACACCGGAGGTGACCACCTCGAGCAGCACGCGCAGCTGGGTCGGCTCAGAGGGAGACAGGTGCGCCAGCCAGAAGGCCACGCACGCGCCGGCGCCGCCGCCGCCGGTGGCAGGGGGCTCCAGCAGCGGCGACACCATGCGCAGCTGCTCGCGCCGGTCCTGCGGGCTGAACAGGTCGAAGTAGATGTAGCCGCCGGCGTCCCTGAACGTGTGGTCGGTGAGGAGGATGCGCGGCGCCTGCGCGGCCAGCGGCGCGGCCAGCCGCCACCGCTGCTGCCGCGGCTCGTCCGTCGTCGAGTTGCTCCAGCCGCACGCGTCGTGGGTGAAGTCGCAGTCGCCGGCGGCGGGCCGGCTCTGCGGCGGCGCCGGCGCGCAGTCCCCATCCAGCAGCACGATGTCGTCTACGGCGATGACGCCGTGCCGACCGGCGCCAGCGGCCCACGAGCCCTCCAACTCCAGCTGCCGGGCAGGGAACGAGACAACGGGGCCATGACATAGATAATTTTGCAACGTACAATTACACATAAAGCAAGCACGCTTACACACACAAACACACATAAAGACAGTCAGTGAGTCATCACAATGATGTGACCGCATTCTATTGTGAATCACCCGTGACGCGTGAATCATCATCTGTATCACGCCTACCTGTCGCATATCTGCCTCCAACTGTCGCACTTCTGCAGGCACTCTCGTGTTACCCATATCGGTTACTCATATCCTCGCATGCACCTGGGGCTGGGAAGATCCCTTCCTGTCCTACCTGTACTCCGTCTGCGTTTAGTATGGGTGCCCGGGCCAGCCGCCAGCCGGCGCCCTGTGCGTTCACCAGTCGCCAGATGAGTTGACGCTCCCGCTGGGGCGAGTCGCGCTCTGTCCAGACGCGCAAGCCGCCGAGACGACCGCCAGAGCTGCCCACCACGCCCTGGTCCATGTAGTACCTGCAACACACACACCGACAGTGGTGACCAGCAACCGTCAGCACATTCGGCGTAATGAACGAATTGATGCAATCACGTATTGCAGTAATCAGACTGTTTTCAAGAAACCTTCCACACTTTTGAATGCTGTAAAAAGCTCTCTCCCTCGCTCTCTCCCTCGCTCTCTCCCTCGCTCTCTCCCTCGCTCTCTCCCTCGCTCTCTCCCTCGCTCTCTCCCTCGCTCTCTCCCTCGCTCTCTCCCTCGCTCTCTCCCTCGCTCTCTCCCTCGCTCTCTCCCTCGCTCTCTCCCTCGCTCTCTCCCTCGCTCTCTCCCTCGCTCTCTCCCTCGCTCTCTCCCTCGCTCTCTCCCTCGCTCTCTCCCTCGCTCTCTCC